CTGGCTGGCTCAGTGGGTTAAGCCTCTGCCTTCGGCTCAGGTCATGATCTCAGGGTCCTGGGATCGAGGCCCACATTGGGCTCTCCGCTCAGCGGGGAGCCTGCTTTCTCCTCTCTCTCTCTATGCCTGCCTCTCTGCATACTTGTGATCTCTCTCTCTCTCTGTTTCAAATAAATAAATAAAATCTTAAAAAAAAATAAATAAAAGGGTAAATGTTACTTTTCTATTTTTGTATGTGTATTCTCTGTAGATAATGACAAATTACTACTTGATTAATGATAACTTTACAATTTTTAATAATAGATATAATACTACATAATATTAGGAAAAGACTCCTATCATGTTATGTGAGAAAGCAGATTTGATAAGCTATTATTTATTAATGTCTTTTACTTGGTTACAGGAAAAGTCAGATTAAGGCAAAGCACTAAACTGACATGTATAAATCATAGTTAGAAATTACCCTAAAGTCTACTGAAATGAAGTTACCAGAAAGAATTACATACAGAATGGAGGGACCTGGATGACATTAGGACACCTGACCAAATATTATTGTTAGTCCTGAGGTTTTCAACTGTTTTTTAATAAAGAGATCATTTCCAGGAAAAAATATAGCCAGTTATGTTATGTTTAAATGCATTTTATTCTCTTTCATGAGAAGGAAAAAATCATCTGAGGGCCACACTGTGGATGAAATGCTTACCACTAAATTTTGGTGGGAATGTAAATGCTTATGGCATTTTTTCATATAATGTCATGGTTGAAGATACCTAGTCATCCTTCTTTTCAGTTCATCCTCCACATTATCACCAGAGATATCTCTGACAAATACCCATTGATCATGTCATGCTGCTGCTTACTAATATTCAGTGGTCCCTTATCATAATATTTAAGGCCACATATAATTTTATCCTACAGTAATATGCTTTTATAGGCCCAGTATCTTGTCCTTTCCTCCAATTCCTCAATTTCATACTTGACCTCTTTCTTTCCATTTTTTTTTCTAAAATACATCTTATTTCTTCTCTGCTGGATTCAGTCTTAGTGTAGATCTTTAAAGATGAGCTTAAGTGTAAATTGTTTTCATATAAGCATGGAAGATTTTATTTATCCCATGGTATTTGTTTATATAGTAACTATTTTGTCAGCTCTACGGTACAAAATTATTTATTGAGTGCCTACCATGTGTGAGACACTCTTTTAGACATAGGCATAGAGGAGTGGGCAAGAATCAAAACCCCTTATTACCTTGGATTTCCCTCATGTATATTGGATACTTGCACATTTACCATAAAATTCATAAACACCTTTGAAAGAGCCAATATTAGTCATTCTTGAGTTCAACCACAGAGAGATTTGCTGAGAACATAGTACATCTCAATTTTTAAAAATTGAGTAGACTCAAACATCTATTACTGAGCCACTTGGAAAACTGTTACACTTTCATAGCATGAACAGATGAAGGGAGGGCAAATATATGCTTGGGAATTAAAAGCTATGTTAGGTACTTATATTGTATTTCTATAGTTTTTCTTCAGAAGCTTCCTTGATCATACATTTTAGAAAAAATAGCACCAAATTCTTCCTTTGACATAAGTAAATGTATAGGCATATAAAACATAAATAAGTTGGGGCACCTGGGTGGCTCAGTGGGTTAAAACCTCTGCCTTCAGCTCAGGTCATGGTCCCAGGGTCCTGGGATCAAGCCCCAAATTGGGCTCTCTGCTCACCGGGGAGCCTGCTTCCTCCTCTCTCTCTGCCTGCCTCTCTGCCTGCTTGTGATCTCTGTCTGTCAAATAAATAAAGTCTTTATTAAAAAAAATAAATAAGTAGATATTAAATGCTAGAAAATATATTTATGGTTATTCCATATACTTTTTAAAAGACAGCAACTATATTTAAAAATATCAGTCAGCTACAAACAACAGCACAGTGTGATATCTGCTGTTCAGGGATCATATAGTTCAAGGATGACATGTGTGAAAGCAAGAATGGGGTCCCTCTTGGTACTTCATTGTCAGCACTGGCAGAGAAACATCAACTAATGTATCCTATATACTTCATTTCTAAAAGATTTATCGGTCTCAGATGGATACTAAAGGACATTATTCTTTATTCTTGAAATTCACTTACCCTCAGGAACAATTTTTAGCTAACTCCCAATGAGTCAATATGTGCTCACAGCTTGTCAATAGTATCTCCATTCATTATTTTTTTTTAATGTGTAATAATTTTTGAATCTGTAAATTAAGACTTCCTTGATAGGATAATAAATGTGTTATTATCAGGTATAATTTACTTCTTTTTAGAAGGAATAGTATAAACCAGCCATAAATTTCTATGATGAATTCATAATTCTTAAAGTTTATCGAAGACGTACTTTACCAATTAAAGATTTCTGGAGCACTGTAATTTGGAGGTGAAGTGCGGCTTGGCTTTCTTTGCTCAAACAGATCTTAAGTGTCAGTCCAATAGGTGAAAATCATATGTAGAGCTCATGTAGTGGAAGGGGGTGGTGTTGACATATAGACAGGGTCTAGAGCCTTAGGTATTCAGCAGCACCTATAGGTAACCACACTAGATTCCTTAAGAAAGCTTTTTTTTTTTTTTTTTTTTTTTTTTTTAAGAGAAAGCACAAGGGGGGGGGGGGGGGGGGCAAGGAGGAGGAGAGGAAGAAGCAGACTTCCCACTGAGCGGGGAGCCTGAGGGTCTATTCTAGGACCCTGAGATCAGGACCTGAGCCAAAGGTAGATGCTTAACTGACTGAGCCACCCAAGCACCTCCCTAAGAAAGTTTTTAAAAGAGTTCTTAAGGGTTCTTAAAATCTCAACAAGCAAAAATTTTAAAATCGTTGACTTTTTTTTCCCCATCAAATACATTTGACAGGTGAAGGAGTTAAGGTCCAGTGAGAATAAACAACTTGTTTGGTGTCAATATTTAATTATTTATTATGTATTACAGGCTAGACACTCTTTTCTATCTTATTAATTAAATTATATTAAAAAAAAAAAAACTATTCTTTATAGTTCATTCAGTCCCCAAAGTATCTAGCCCAGGGCCTTTTGTGGTAACTATTCATTGGCAACTGATTTTATGTTACATCTTAATTCGTATCACCAACATGTTTTTACAACAATTTCATGTGCTGAACTTTGCCTCTATGTTCTCTCCTGAACTGATGTGTAATTAGCTTTGGGAATAGAACTGTAGATTTTTTTAAACTACTAAACTGATTATTTTTTCTCTGTTGTGGAATAAGCCACCTAATATACTTCTGTATGTATGTGATATCTGCCTAGAACTATATTCTATCCATAATTCATATGGCAGATGCTATTCCATCCACTGGGTTATAACAATAAACAAAACTTTTGAAATGAAATTTTTTCCAAAGTTGCTTACATTCTAATGGAAGGAGTCACACACAAATATGAAAGAAAAATATGTCTGACATTGATAAATTTTGGAGAGGGGAATGAATTTGGGGTTATAGGTATTTATAAATCTTAAAAGCGTGGTTGGGAAAACCATGGTAGATGGTAAATTTTGGTAGAGATGAGGGAGCCTGCCATGCAGGTATTAAGAGAAGAGCATTCTTGGCAGAAGAAGCTGTAGGTTGGGAGACCATCTGGAGTGGCAGGGGCACAGGGTGGGATATGGTTGGAACAGAAGAAACAGGTAAAGTCACTGAAGTGTAGGAAGAAGAATGGGAAGTAGAGATTAAGGAAGAGTGAGGGAGGAATAATTCCTCTTAAATAGGCCCCTATAAGCTACCATAAAAATTGTGGTTTTATCCTCAGAGAGCTGTGCAGCAGAGGGTTTTGAAATGAGAAATGTAATCTGATGTGATCTGTGATGTGATCTGATCTCAGTTTAAAAGTTTCAGCCTATGCTGTAAACAATATCCAGTGTGGATGGTACAAAGGCAGAAGGAGAGATTAGGTAAAAGGCACTTTCCATAATCCAGATAAGCCACAATAATCACGATGGCTTAGACCAAAGTGGTTACAGTGGAGAAAGTAAGAAGAGGTTAAGTTCTAGATTTTGATTGTTTAACTCACAGAATTCACTGATGGATTGGATGTGAATATCTAAGAGAGAGGGAGGAACCAAGGATGACTCTTTGGCCTCAGAAACTTTAAGGATGTCATTGCCATATACTGAATTGTAGAACACTGTACAATACATGCTCAGGCAAAGGCTATACTCAACTTAAGATCATAGGTCTCTATTATATGACTGAAGATACTGGCTATTGACTAAGTCTCATGTCCAACATCACACTTTAAAAACGGCATTTTAGATGTGTAAATCCAAATACATCATCATTCATATACAGATGCTATTAGCCTTAACAAAGACTGAAGATTTTTTTATACAAGCAAAGAAATAACTGCTTCACAATATTATGAAAATGTAAAAGTTGTCTAATTCATGAATTTCCTAATTGTTCTCCTCAGATGAGAATGTTTGCCTACTTTATTTAGCTGAGGAAACTGTAAAATTCCATTGATTAAAGTGTAGTATGGCCAACACAGCCAAAAGGACAACTCACTGGGTTAAAAGTTGTTATATTCAAAAGCTCTTCCCAGATGTCTATGTTTCTCAAAACAAAGATTACAGAAATTACAGAAAATGTTATTTGGCTTGTAAATGAATAGAAAAGTTAATATAACCAATATTATTATAGTATTATTTTTATTTTTATATCTTTATGTAAAATATTGTATTTGGATAAAGTGTTTTTTCAAGTTTCTACAGGGGAAAATCAGAAAGAGTTTGTATAAATCGTGGTGAGGAAAAAGTTAACTAGAAGGAAAAAAAATTAGAGTACAGGCAAAAAAAAACCTTCAAAGACACAAGATTTAATATCTTGTAGCAAAAGTGGAAAAAAGTTAGAAACATATTTTTAAAAATGGAAAAGATTCCTAAGGGGAACACATGAAGATAGTCATATTGAACATACTACAGTATAGATGAACCTTCAAAACATTACCCAAGGTAAGCCAGATGCCAAGAATAAATGATGTTTGAATCCACTTATATGAGGTAATTAGAATAGTCGACTTCATTGAACAGAAAGTAAAATGTCAGTTAGTCGGTGCTGGGGAGATGGGGTAATCAGGAGATACTGCTCAATGTGAATGGAATCAAGTTCGAAATAATGAAAAAGTTCTGCAGATGCGTAGTGATCCAGTTGCACAACTGTGTCAATGCATTTTATGTCACTGAAATAGTTAAAATATTAAATTTTATGTTATATATATATAGTACTACAATACAAATAAAATGTCTGTGAGGGTTGAGAAGAGACTCTCCTTATAAAGGAAGTGGCATTAAATAATTTTTCATAATGTAATATACAATAAAGGAAAAATTGTTCAGAGAAGATCTTATTATTAGATCTTAACATTTTATTACATTGTGATTCCTCCTGATTATATTACATATTTCATTGTTGAAAACCTTTCATCTCTATTCAGTGCACAGACGTGAAAAAAGTCTTCAAGCAGAATTCTTTTTTCTACTCTAACTACATGCATGAGATACTTAAGATTGTGTTCTTCCCAGCAATCAAATGGTTGCACACCACAGTGGCAGGAGGATTCTCTGAGGTTTGAAGTGCCTCAGTTTTACCCAGTTGTAAGAGTTTTCCTCAGATATAGACAACTTCATCTCTGACTACTAAAAATCAGACCTTCCTCCACAAATCAAATTATTTTAATTACAATATGTATGTAATTATTTCATGAAATGTATTGTCTTAAATAATGTTTAGGACTATGAATTAAATTTTACCTATGAGCTCAAAACCATTAACTCTGCTTAAAATAAATTTGGCAGTAGGTATGGAACTGCTGATATCCTACTGAAAGTGCATTTAATAAGGAAAACATTTCCTAAACACCAAAGAGCTTTAAGATATGAAACAGTCTATGTCTTAGAAATGAATCTAGTATTAAAAGGGAGAAAAATTAATAGAGTCATGTTCAAAAGACTTTAATAGGCTTGTAAGACTGAAATAGAACTCTTTGTGTATCTAATTATGAAGTAGTAAAACATTTTGCTCACAGATTTGAGATGAAAAGAGAAAGCCAGGTTCCAAAGAAACATCACATTATACATAGAACATAATGTACAGAATATACATACTTCAGTATTGAGTAATAACTTCAGCAACTCATCTCAATAGATACTAAAAAAAAATTTAAATGGGTAAGGAGACCTAATTTCAGATGTACATACTAAGAAGAACTTTATGTGAAAAATTTTTTTTTTTCTAAATCTCAAACTAAAGGAAGAATTTGGTCAGAAAATTGCACTATGTCAACATGGTTCTTGAATTCAAGAACTGAATTACAGAAATCTGACCCAATTATATGCTTTTATTTGTAAACTAATCAGACATACATACAGCAACACTTTCATATATACATCTAAATGAACTCAGTGTCTGTGTGCATTCATTCTAGATGTTGTTGTGTGAGTAATAAAGTATTTCCCTTGCTAGGTTTTCTTGGTATCAGAAATGCCACAAATAAGATGATTTTTCTATGATTCCCAACAAATTATTTTCATCAAGCAAGCACATTATAATAAATGCAAGTATTTGTAAACTAACAAAGATCAGAGAAAATAATAATTAGCTAATTTGTTGACTACTTACTATGTGCTCAGTATTATACATACATTAGTTTATTTTCAAAATACCACTCCATAATCATGACACCACTCTATTACATTAATATGGAGAAAAAAAAAAAAAAAAGGTTCAGAGAATTGGAATATTTGCTTTAGGTCATGTGGCCTGCAGAGGCAGGGTTTGACTCTAACATTCTGACTCCAGAGCCTTTGCTACTGACTGCTATGCAAAATCTCTTCAGATATTGCCTCACCAGTCACTGACAGCAACTCACTTAAAGGAACAGGCATTAAGGATAGATGAAGTAAACAGAAGTGGGGAGGGGATGAAGGTAAATAAAGTGGGGGGGGGCAGAGATGAGAGATTGGGATAGCAACTATTAGGCAAAATTTTCAAAAATTTTTTAACTTCATCCACTTGAAATAAGAATGTGCTTACAAGTCATGCACACTGCTCTTTCTACCAGTTTAGTTTGTTCTTAAAATTCCCTGCCAAGTCATCACCAGATTCTGTTTCTATATTTCCGGAATCTGAGAATTGCTGTTTTAGATCAAAATAACTTTTTATGCAGCACTAATATTTTCCTTTTTGATTTGGCATGATTCAGATTCTTGTGCTATTGAATAACTCATGTATTTCTGGCATGATTCCCCAACTAGGTTATATACTCTCTAAAGATAAGGAAAACACCTTTATTTTATTTATATTTTCCCAATGACCCAAATCAAATGTTTTATGCATGTTAAGTATTTCATAAATATGTGAGATTCTGATTTTATTTCTGAACACAAAATAATTAAACAGATGGCTTAAAGTAACAAACCAGACTCTTCTCAAACTCAGGTGTGTACCTTGGAGATATGAATTCACCATCTTATATCTTTAAAAGAACTTGGACAAAACAAACAAACAAAAATAGCAAGTAAAATCAGCAATTTTAAGATAAGAATACCAAAGAATTTAAGTAACTTGTTCTTTTTTTTTTTTTTAAGATTTTATTTATTTATTTATTTGACAGAGATCACAAGCAGGCAGAGAGGCAGGCAGAGAGAGGAAGGGAAGCAGGCTCCTTGCTGAGCAGAGAGCCTGACGCGGGGCTTGATCCCAGGACCCTGAGATCGTGACCTGAGCCGAAGGCAGAGGCTTTAACCCACTGAGCCACCCAGGCGCCCCTTAAGTAACTTGTTCTTAATCATCCTGAGTATTTGAAGGAGGCACTTGCATGTTTGGGAACCTATTAATGTCTTACATAACACATCGTTAGTGTCAAATGACTCAGCTAAGAATAAACTACAAATTCAGATATTGACACTTTTTTATACTTAATATTTATATTTATTTTTATGAAGAATTTATCACAAGCTTTTAGGGAGGACCTTAATATATTTCTTGGTCAGAATAGGCTAAGTTATGCTGCAGTAACAATCAGGTCCATTTCACAAATAAATATTTATTTCTCCTTCGTGCTATAATTCCAGAGTCAGTCTGCAAGGATGTTTCTTTCACTTAAGGTCACTGATAGAGTAACTTCTGCCTTAAATACTGACAGACATTGTTCCAGAGAGAAGCAAACACTCTGAGGTGTTATGTAACAGCAATTAAATACTTGTCCTCAAAGTGATATTCCATTGCTTGCAGTGTATTAGCCAAAACTAACCACAACATCCCACTCACTCACAAAAAGTCTACTATGTATAAAACTGCATAACAGATGTATTTGGCAAACAACCATATTATACTACCTGTTACATTTATTTCAAAGTATGAGATACTTTACAAACTTTTTACATGTATTTATATTTTTGTCGATAAACATGATAAACACATAATGTGTATTTTACAGATAGAGAACATGTATCTCAGGCGCCTGGGTGGCTCAGTGGGTTAAGCCTCTGCCTTCGGCTCAGGTCATGATCTCAGGGTCCTGGGATTGAGGCCAACATCAGTCTCTCTGCTCAGCGGGGAGCCTGCTTCTTCCTCCCCCTCTGCCTGTCTCTCTGCCTACTTGTGATCTCTCTCTGTCAAAAAAAAACCAAAAACAAACAAAACCAACAACTAAAAAAAACATATATCTCGGGACACCTGGGTGGCACAGTTGTTAAGTGTCTGCCTTCGGCTCAGGTCATGATCCCATGGTTCTGGGATAGAGCTCCACATCAGTCTCCCTGCTCAGCAAGAAGCCTGCTTCTTCCTCTCCCACTACCCCTGCTTGTGTTCCCCTCTCTCATTGTGTCTTTTTCTGTAAAATAAATAAAATCTAAAATATACATATATGTGTGTGTGTATTGTGGGGGGCATATATATATATATATATATATATATATATATATTCTCAGTGGTCTATTTGTCCAAGTTCTTTTGTGTAGTCAGTATAGAAAATGATAGCTAAACCTAGGTTTATCTGGATTTTCAATTCCCCATGCTCCCTACTCTAAGATTCTGTATCCTGCTTACCATGGGCATGAAAAGATTTATGTTGGTAGACAATATCTGAGCAAAAGGCTAGGGATTTCTGTGGGTCAAACGGTTCCATCCAAAGAACTTATTCAATGCAGAAACATTATCTGTGTATAATTTCAGCAATGATCATTTGGTACAGTTAAGTCAAGTCTTTGAGTTCTTGCAGTAAGAATCTACCACATACCCATTAATGTGTAAAATATGTGCCTTCCAGGGTCTTGACACTTACAACAACTTTTCTAATTAAGCCCACTCCTAGAAAATAAATAAGTAGTTTCCTTGACATTTTAAAATTGATTGCTTTTTCACCCTGATTGTTACTATTTCTTGTAACTTGTAGGTGTAGGTTGTTTGCTAATATTGTGCAATAAAATGAACTTCTTGATCACTAAGTACTACAATTTGGATTTTCCAGTATGATAAATTCTCTCATCACTGTTTTTGTCATGTTCCACTATTACCTTTCAGATTTTTACTAGTTTTTCTATTTGATGATTGTTGGGAAAAAATGTCCACATTGATGTCCACATTAAAAAATAAAGTCTCTCTAAAGTAGTTGTGCATCCTGAAACTCTCAAGTAGAATTGAATTATTTATATTATTTTGTTCTCTCAGGTGCTCTCTGGGTGTGAAGAATTTTATTTCCTGAGTCAAGCTATTTCACAGGTTGAACAAACACAGGTCTTCCAACATAACACCGTAAAGTAGACATAATATCAACATAAAAAAGAATAATAAATCCACATGTTCAGTATCTATTTAACAAGCATCTTCATGTCTGAAAGCCTTTAAATTTGTTTGGCATTTTCACCCATTGTCATCTGGACTCACAACACTGTGGAGATGGTCAGGTTTCAGACAAGCATTTATTCTCCACAATTTTTCCCTGAGGATATAGATTTTTTCCCCCCCTCACTCTCTTTGATCAACATCCTTCAGACATAATCCCGGAGAATAAGATAAACGAGAGGAAAGCGAGATAAACAAGAGAAAAGTAAAGTTCTAGACAATTGCATACAAGTAGCTCAAAATGGTTGTAGATTCTGCCTTTGCTTTAAGCCTAACCCAGGTCAGTAATACAACAAACCAATCCTTTCACACATATTTTCAGAAAAGCGCATGAAGTAAAGTTACTGGTTCTTTCAGTGAGCTCACGTTTCACCCACAGGGCAACTAGCTACTCTGTAGCATAGTTCTATGCCTGTGTATGCATGTGTTGTGTGTATGTACCCCCAGACTTGTCAAAACTTCAGGAAAGTGAATATGAATATGGGTAAGGAGAACAATTTTTCTCAGTACACTGAATAACAGAAAAGTCATTAAATCAGGCACCTTTCTGTGCCTTTTATCTACTTTAACCCCTTTAATCTAGACAATTTTGGAGGAACGTCACTTCTGATTTCCATTTCCCATTTGAAGACACAACCTGTAATTGAAGTGAATTGTCCAGATACACACAGAAAGTAAACAGCAGAGGTACAATCTGAACCCATATTTCCAATCCTATGCTTTTTTAAAATATGCTGTCTCATAAAACAATTAAAACCACCTACTGTGGTTTTAATTCCATATTTATTCAGGACATTCTAGGACAGCTATCTTAAGAGATTTCAGAAACCAAATGCGGACTTCTTTGTGTTATAAGAAAAAACTTATTTCAGGAAAGACTTTAGAGTCCAGCTAAAAAAAGAAGTAAGTGCTTGTCTGCCCTGAACTTAGATGAAATTGACTTACAGGGACCCTAGTTTGTAAATCAAGCTACAAGGTAACTTCCAACATACATTTGCTATGCCAGGAAGCTTCCAGATTTCCCTCATCCTGTCTAAGTGACTGCTATGAAGTCTGTGAGCCTCTCACAAGCAACTTCGAGGCTCAGGCACCACATGGAGATTTATCACCTAGGGTTGTTGACCTGCTAATCTGCTTCACTTTGAATTGAAGAAGTGTGCCACTGAGGCAACGTCTCCAAATCTCCCTCTCAGATCTAGCAATACATTTTTGAAGAGAGGCCTTGGCAAATAAAACAGACTGAGGAGTAAGGATATGTGTGGAGAAAAAGAATGGTGGTTGCAACAGCCTTATTGGCAGCTTCA